GTGTATATAACTCAGCGCGAGCGCCAGTTTCATGTTCTCCATGTGCAGCACTGTGAGCTGTATCCACTTCACATTTTTTCTTACTCACTTGATCTTCATCTTCCCAAAATCACAGACGAAGCTAATTGGGTATGGGTCAATACCTATAGATACATTTTTAGTGGGTTATTCACATCCATAAACCCCAGCTATGACTTGGGGTTCACGGCACGGTACCAGGGTTTTGACCCATCCCCAATTCACCAATTTCTGGCACAAAAAAATCACCAACGTGGTATTCAAACATCGCCAGGAGACGGCTGAAAAGGGTGGTTGGAAAGAAGATGTGACTCGGTGCCAGATGCCACAACGGGACTTTCCATTGGCATGTTGAATTTTTTTGAGGCCTCTCCCAACTTGGCGATCCCAACATATACTTTGGATCAAAAAAACAAATAAGCCAAGGTTGATCCAACTTTGGATATACTTGTATATACAATTATATTTAAGAGCTGCCGCCCCTGCCGCCGACCCCGGAAAAAAAAAGAGGTTGCTGAGGTGCTGATTTTTTTGTAAAACTGTGATGTGCATAGAGGTCACCGAGAGCGTAACGCTGTGGGCCCCTGATTTTTACGGTGTTTTATGAGGTTTTTATTGTTAGATAACATATGTATGCAACAATAATGAAATATGTATACCACAATCTTAGTTTCATCTCTTCTACTTAGATGTGCATCCTACTGAGTAAGTTGTTAACTCATATATATATATATAGCCTATACAAGCTCAGATATGTGGATAAAGTTCATATAACTGGAAATGCAATCTCTTTGCTAAGTGAGATCCAACCCCAAGTATGCAACTATTGGCATCACTAGCTATCCTTCAATTGATTTCAATTTACTTTCAATTGATTTCAATCTACTTTGAATTGATTTCAATTTACTTTGAATTTATTTAAATTTACTTTGAATTGATTTCAATTTACTTTGAATTGATTTCAATTTACTTTCAGTTGATTTCAATTTACTTTGAATTGATTTCAATTTACTTTCATTTGATTTCAATTTACTGTCAATTGACATCCCACAGTAATCCCACAGAAAGATCATAGAAATATCATAGAAATCCCATAGGAATCCCACAGAAATCCCATAGAAAGATCATAGAAATAACATGAAATAGCATAGGAACCACAAAGAAATCCCATGAGAATTCCAATAATAATCCCATAGAAATATCAGAGAAACATCATGGAAATACCTTGGAATTCCCACAGGAATCCAATAGAAATTCCATAGGAATCCAGTAGAAATACCATAGAAATCCATAGGAATCCAATGGAAATCCCATGAGAATACCATAGAACTCCCATAGCATCCCTTTAGAAATCCCAAAGAAATCCTCCAGAGATATCATAGAAACATCATGGAAATCCCAAAGGAATTCCATAGAAATCCAAAAGTAATACCATAGAAATACCATAAAAGAAAAAAGCTTTAGCAAAGGAAAAGGTAAAGGGAATGTTTGAAAAAAACACACCCCAGGAAGCATCTGGACACAATAGTGTACCCCCAAGCAAACCACACTATTGTGGATCAGGGTTGCTCATGGACTACCCCCTTGAAAAATTGTTTGGGTGATCTTTTTCAATTGGGTTTTTCTTAAGGCATCATATATTTAGGGAAATTGTGCATTTCTGAGAATTTCAAATGAAAGAAACAAATTAGGAAAATTTAGGAAGTAAAAGAAAAACTTTAGAAAAGGAAAAACAATTCAGGGATTGTTTGAAAAAAATCACCCCAGGAAACAGCTGGACACAATAGTGTACCCCCCACACAAACCATACTATTGTGTACCAGGGTTGCTCATGGACTACCCCCTTGAAAATTTGTTTGAGTGATGTTTTTTAACTGGGTTTTAATAAGGTGTCATATATTTTGGGAAATTTGGCATTTCTGAGAATTTCAAATGAAAGACGCTAATTAAGAAAGTTTAGGAAGTAAAAGAACAACTTTAGCAAAGGAAAAGGTAAAGGGATTGTTTGAAAAAAAAAACACCACAGGAAGCATCTGGACACAATAGTGTACCCCCAAACAAACCACACTATTGTGGATTAGGGTTGCTCATGGACTACCCCTGATAACTTGCACGAGGCGACTCCGAAAGCGTCCGCACTGCTCCGAACTGCTCCGCTAAGCTTTTCCGGAAATTAAAAAAAATTGAAAAAACTGAAAAAACCGAAAAAACTGAAAAAACTGAAAAAACTATTATTTTCAGATAGATCGAGGGGGGAGGGCCATCTATCTGAAAGTAATGGTTTTTTCAGTTTTTTCAGTTTTTTCAGTTTTTTCAGTTTTTTCAGTTTTTTTCACTTTTTCAGTTTTTCCAGTTTTTTCAGTTTCTCCATCCTCTAGAGACCTGCTCAAACTATGCGGATACAGGAGGGAGAATGAACATGTTTCAAAAAAATGGTGGCAACGAAAAAAAATGGACATACAGATTCATCATCCAGATTTGATATTTTACCTCATTTCCAGAACCCTGCAAAAAGCAAGGGCTCACAACGTTACTTTCTGAAAAAAAAAGAGGTTGCTGAGGTGCTGATTTTTTTGTAAAACTGTGATGTGCATAGAGGTCACCACATATCATCACAAAGACCTAAGGTGTGGTGCATCATTTTTTGTGCGCCACGCAAAAGTTATTCGTTTAGAGCTGTTAGAACGACATGCTGCAGATGTGACTTGCCCATGGTTATTTTGGCTACACTTTGCCCTTGCAGACTTCGACCCAAGTGAGGGAGCCAAGCCGTGGACCAAGAGGAAATTTCAAAATGTGAAGAAGGAAAATGGATGACGATTGTATGGTTTCCATTAGGTATTGTGGAAAAACGGCATGTGGGGGGTGCAACATGCAAGTTTTTGTAGTGAAGTGAGTCATCAGGTGTGGGATTTGAAGTTCGATGAGGTTTTGGTCGTCAAGTCGTCGCATCATTTGGAAGCTTGACCCATCTGGACCCGTTTTTGAATTTTCGAGGCTGGTTCAAGGAACAGGACGATTCTGGTAAACGTTGTAGCCATGGAGGTATACGGTTGGAGCGCCAAGAGATATATGGCGTACCGGTCCCTGAGACGGCAGCTTTTTCTGAAGAATTGCTCCTTGGAAGACTTGAAAGCTGGAGAGTACTGTGGGACGGGGAAGGGAAAAGTGTGGAAAAGCCAAAGCGGCTTACGGGATTTTATGGAGAGAAATGTCGACCTCTTTGCAACTCTGGAGCAGATGGAACATGCAATGGCGCCGAGATTTGCAGGCTGCTTGCATAAGGCCTGGAGTCTGAAAGCTTTGTGTTCCCAAATATCATCCTTTGTTGGAATTTATACACAATACCATTACAAGATTATAGAACGCTCTTTTAAGATCCGAGCCCAAAAAGTCCCTAACGTCCCTTCTGAAACCCTTGAAAAACAATAGTTTTCGACCAGTTTTTATACCACTGGTTGTACAATGAAACATATGAGACATAGAACCCTCCTGCTGCTCCTGTTGCTGCTGCTGCTCCTCCTCCCAAAGCTGAAAACGCACCCTGCCGGACAGGGAAACACAGTGGCCCTGAAGGACGGAACAACGCCAAAATCGAGCCCAAAAAGTCCCTAACGTCCCTTCTGAAACCCTAGAAAAACAATAGTTTTGGACAATAGTTTTCGACCAGTTTTTATACCACTGGTTGTACAATGAGACATAGAACCCTCCTGTTGCTGCTGCTGCTCTTCCTCCCGAGGCTCAAAACGCACCCTCCCGGACAGGGAAACACAGTGGCCCTGAAGGACGGAACAGCGCCAACATCGAGCCCAAAAACTGCCTAACGTCCCTTCTGAACCCCTAGAAAAACAATAGTTTTCGACCATTTTTTGTACCGCTGTTTGTACAATGAGACATAGTGAGACATAGAACCCTCCTGCCTGTTGCTGCTGCTGCTCTTCCTCCCGAAGCTGAAAACGCACCCTGCCGGACAGGGAAACACAGTGGCCCTGAAGGACGGAACAGCGCCAACATCGAGCCCAAAAACTGCCTAACGTCCCTTCTGAAACCCTAGAAAAACAATAGTTTTCGACAACTTTTTGTACCGCTGTTTGTACAATGAGACATAGTGAGACATAGAACCCTCCTGCTGCTCCTGTTGCTGCTGCTGCTCTTCCTCCCGAAGCTGAAAACGCACCCTGCCGGGACAGCTGAAAACGCACCCTGCCGGACAGGGAAACACAGTGGCTCTGAAGGACGGAGCAGCCCCAAAATCGAGCCCAAAAAGTCCCTAACGTCCCTTCTGAAACCCTAGAAAAACAATAGTTTTCGACCAGTTAATATACCACTGGTTGTACAATGAAACATATGAGACAGGACTGGCTACTGGCTATGTGCAGTTCTACCCTATAGAATTGAATAATAGAAGTGGTAGTAGTCCGAAACCAAGGTCAAATGTCTTATTCCCTGGCGCGCTCCCCCTTGCGTCTGCCGGGGTCGGCGGATACATGGATATACTTGGTTGGATCAAGGTGAAAGTTTCGACTCCCGAAGAGCAACTCACAGCGCCGCCTCAGGACGTTCCGAAGGGGGCCACAGGTGCCAAGTCCGACCCGGGGGGTCTCGAAGCACCGGACAACACAGGGGGAGCTTGGAGTCCTGGAGATATTGACTAAGACCTGATAGTACTGATAGATACTGATAGTCATACAGCCAATTTGCCGCGAGTTCTTTGTGGATCACATTCACGCTGGTTCTTGTGGATCACCCCGGCGCCGTTCAAATGGTACACACGCTTGATCCAGGAAGCTTTCAAGAAGAGAAACTGAGACATTAGCACCATAAATGTGTCAGCCAATTTCTCAGTTTCCATCACTAACATCAGTATATTTTCTGTAGGTTATTGTTTTAGTGAGGGGCTCACTGTGGAACATCAAGAACTCAGTGTCACTCAGTGTATCTCTTCGAGACACCGCGTTACGTACGTCACACGTTACCGTTACAAGTCACCGCGTGCCCTACCGCCATGGTGGAAGTCTTCCAAATCTTGGCAGGACGGTCCGCTAGGCTAAGCAATGATCATCTCATCATCTCATGGTGACCTCCGTGTTGGAAATATCGAAGCACGCAAAAAAGGGGCATGTCTGGGGCGTATCTTTACACTCAAAAAAGGTTGCCTCGGTTGACACTCAAAAAAGGTTGGATCGGTTGGATCTTGCATTGCATTTTGACCCAGCTGTGAGGACTTTTGGGTCTCATCGGATCTCAAGGCTCCGCTCCGCCAAGGGCCATTTCCATGACCGACGGGTTGGAAACAGCTGAAACCTACTTCAGTTGGGTGCAGTTTCTATTTGCTTTCGGTGACAATCTTCACATTTGTTGGGACAAAAACTACTGCATGATAGGCTATATGGAAACGGGCTTTAAGACTGTCGTGTTATATTTCTGGGCAACATCCGGCTGCCAGCTGGGCAACAGCAGGTGCCCAAAACCAGATCAGCAAGTGAGATAAATTTGCCATTCACCAACTGGGTATTTCTTCATATTTCATAAGTCATAAGTATTTCTTCATATCCATCTGACTTCCTTTTTTTTGGTTACAACGGTTACAACGGTCATGATTCGTCTCAAGTTTTGATGCTACAACCTCCTGGGATAAACTCTGGTGAACATATTCCCAATTATGTTTGTTGTTAATTATCGTCACTATTACTTGTTATGGTTTTATATTTCTCTATTGTTTTTGGTTAGTTTCACTAATATCCGTAGCCATTTTGGCTCAAGGCCCGAGTTTCCCCCCGCGCGTGTTCAACGGGGTATCCGGGTTTGCCATAGCCTAAGTGGGCCGCGTTTGCCCACGGGTTGCTCGCGCTACCTGACTTTGTCCACATCATTGTTGAGGCGATTGATTTTTCTCGCAGTTGGCAATCTTTGTGGCTTGGGGTTTTTATTGTGAGGGCATTTTTTCACTGGCTCTGCGGTGGCCTTGCACCGGCCCTATTTACATCTGTTTTCAACCTTTCTGAACTGGTACGCCCTGGATAGGCTGAACATTTGGTAAATTTCGGGTTGGGCATTTCACTGGCTCTGCGGTGGCCATTCACCGGCCCTTTCTATTTCCAATTGAATTTCTTCTGAACTGGTGCGCCCTGGAAGACGTATTTACAGCAGTGGATGCATTGGGTGTTTTTTCTGGTACTTGTATTTCTATTGATTCAGAACTTGTGCCACGACGACCAATACCACTGTGAGAAGGCGATTGAGGCGAACTCGCGCAACAGCGCGTTTCCTTTGGTGGCAGATTCGACAAGGCTTCAAACCAGTTTGTGTTACAACTTTACGCTGGATCAAGAAGACCTTGTGGCAACACCACTCGAGGGACCCAAAGTTCAATCAAGTGATCAACCGCACATTGCAGGGCGCAATGGCGGACAACAAGAAGGCCAACGCAGGTTGGCTATGTCTCTGGTGTCGGGTTATGAACGGAAAGCACGCCAATCATTGTCACAGCTGCGGAGGGCACTGGCAAGATGTGAGCGAGGGCTACGGCAGCTCATACCGTTCAGATTCCAGAAGACAGAGGAACCAAGAGGAAGATTATCAACAGTGGCCAAAGAGGCCCAAATCCCCCAGACCCAAAGGCAAAGGGAAGGGGAAAGGAAAGAGTCCGAGGCCCAAACAGAGACGGCAAGAACAGGCTCCATTGCCTACCAGTGCACCAGCCGGGGCACCGACGCAGGAAGTCTTGGCAATCCCGTCTGTGAATGCAGGCCTTTCATGGATGCAAGCGGCGCAAAGTATACAAGGGCCGCCTGCTCCAGCTCCAGTCGATGGCCAGATGGCAACTGGAACAACTGGAGCACCACCGCAGGAATACAAAGCTCTGATAGATTCGCTCAAGCGAAACCAAACCAAGGGTACATTACCCGAGGATGTGCAACAAGAGCTGAAAACTCTCAAGATCAAGGAAGAGAAGGAGCAGAACAAAGAGCTCAACCAGGCGGTGAAAGGACTCCGGAAAGCCCGCAAGGAACTACAAGAGTCATTCGAGGCACGGGAGCAGCTGCACACTCAATGGCGCAAGTTCCTATCTATGAGTGTCACGCAGTGGCAAGGGTTCACCAGCCAATTTCAAGCACAGGAGAAAGTGGCGGTGGCACGGATTACAGAATCACAACAAGCCCTGCGCGAGGCCAAAGCGCAGCTGGCGAGCTCCAAAGAGATTGCGGAATTATCCTCCAATGCAGAAGCATCAGTGGTGGATGTGGACATCATCTCAGAGGACGAGACGGCGAAGACGGCAGAAAGTTCATCACGAATGCAAGAAGGAATGAACAACCTGACCACCTCGCTGGAGCAATTGCATCAAGCAGCAGAAGAGTTCCATGCCAGCGAGCAAGCGGCAAAACGTGCCCGCCTGCATGGGCAGGACGATGTAGCTGGTTTGCCTGGCTCTGGACAACTGGAGCCTTTTGCGCAGCCCGGCACCAAGCGACCGACGAGTGCTGGCGCCTAGGGCATTCTCTGGCTGGAGATGCTCCCTTGATTGTGTTGAAATGGACCCACTCTATCATGCATGAAGCTACATTTTGTAGCGAATGGGAGGCTCAGACGAAGGCACTGAGTTTATCCTGGGAGTGTGGAACAATGAGGGACAACACTGTCAAGGTACGTTCCCGAGAGCACAGGCAGTCACCAAAAGCTTTTCAACAATTGCAGTTCTCTGATGACGTTGAAGTTTTGTGCACCAACCATCAACGCCAAATTTGCACGCTTGCACATTGCCACCATGGAGGTGTACAAACAGTAATTGAACAATTTCAGCAGAAAATGTCTCATGTGAGTGCTCCGCTGTCTTCTCGCAGAGCGAGAAAGGCCGTGTTGAGCTCCGGGACTCGTGAATTTGATGAAATCACCTTGATGCAAACGCATCCCAAGGCCAGACAGCATAACGAACCTGCTGCTCCAGTATGGTATCCACAGCGTTTTGCAGGACCGGGCCAAGATGATGAGTCAAGTAGTGATTTTGAAAATGATTTTCCCAACCAACAAGATGGAAACCAAGAGGAACAAGAAGATGAGCCACCAGATGATTCAGAGGCACACCCACCAAGCGATGAAGATGGCAGACAATCAGTTTTGCTTTTTCACCTGGATGATGTGCCGATTCATGCAATGCTCAATTGGAACAATTTTGCTATCATGATGCGTGAGGTTGCACACCATTTTGCAGTTGATAGGGTTGAAGTGTTGGATTGTCATGACATGACTACTCATCCGGAAGACATTCCAGAGGGTACAGTACCATTGATCGTGCAATTGGCCCGTGATATACCGGTAGGTTCCCCTTCTGTCCTGGTCATGGTTGATGTCATTGTTCATGGACAAGCACAAGAACCACATTTCATGACTGCACCACGCATTAGGAGAAAAATTATTGAAGTCCCAACGATTTTGCTGCGACAAGCATTCCTGATCCAAATGCAGGTCTTTGAATATTGCCGCATTGAGCACAACCGGTGTCTCATCAGACATGAAGGGATTGAATGGCCACTTCAAGAAGTCCTGCCCAGACGTATGTATCATGGCAATTATCTCCAGCTTGAAGTTCCCCCACCTGAACGCTGTGAGGTGTCAACCAGGGTGATGCTTGAGGAAAGCCGTAACCTTGCTGTTGATGAATTTTGGGCACGGTACTACATCCCAACGCCACCTAGTATGCATGAAGAATCGGAAGAGTCTGAACTTGATGTATCACCAAGTTTGGCAGGATCTGATGAAATCCGTAGGGAGTTTGGATCTAGGGAACGGGAAGATGAAGAGGACACCAGCCTTATGCAGAGACAACTGGGTGATCCCAGCTCATCATCCAACCAGCCAGCCCCTGGCGATCCTGACTCACAAGTCTCAGGTCCATCTGCATCCAGTAGTATGATTGCTACAGCAGTGACACAGATAGTCAATGACTCATGCATTCTGCAATTCGACCCGTATACGATAGGCAGGCTGCCTCGGTGGTATCGTGCAATGTCCACCTGTTATGGGACTGAAGCACGTGTTGAAAATGATGATGAAGGCCCAGTTGCGTATCTCACGACTTGGTATGCAGATTGTAGATTTGATGCCAGTAGTGAAGAATCAAGAACTGTGCGCGTTGACCACCACTCCAATTTATGGGCGATGGACATCCAACACACATGGAGGGATCGAATTCAAGCTGGCCACCAAGTGCATTTTGCCTGGGTTTTACCCACACCCATTGCTGCGCCTGCTGTACGCACGATGGGCCATTTGATTGTATATCAACATCCCAATGAGTTACGGGCACCTGTGCTTCTTAACTTTCAGTTCCGTGCGTTGAACCTGGATGGAAAGGCACATGCAGTAGCGGTCATTCGACAAGGTATTTCACCCAGTGACCTTGCTTCTCAGGTGAAACTGGACCGAGTGTGCCAGGGAAGACGATGCACGCTGCATAGAGGCATCAGTGGGAAAAAGTGGGTTGATCCATTTGTGTATGGAGAAGGGATCAAGATGGTTATCCCTTCACCAGGGCAGTACGCTGATCCAGAGTTGCACTGGGGCTTAGGTTCGGTTGTCCTGGTATACGATATTGACACGAGGTTTGAGCTGGATCCACCGATCTTTTCCATGCGGCTTGAAGACCAAACACCTTTTGTCCAACAGCTTCATGAGTTGTGGGTGCGATTTGGACAGCGCAATGAAGTGGCTGCAGAAAGGTTCATTGAGGTTACAACTTGGTATTTGGATGGGGTTGTTGTTCCATACAACGACCAGCAGCGCCGAGTTCTGTTAGGGGATGATTTCACTGAGTGGCTGGGTGAGCTGCGAAGGGTCTGGCATGACCTTGAGGATGCCAGTGAGGATATTGATTTTGTCCTTGTGAATCCCATTCCACCATGTAGTCCCTTGGACACCATTCATGTTTTGCTTTATCAACAAATTGATGCAGATCATGTTGGCCTGATTGTGACCAAATACGACAATGCAGTCCGCCAAGGCGCAGCCTTTTCAACGGCTGTTGTGTCACCCAACCCTGTCCAAAGGCATTACATCATTGATCGCATGGGTAAAACTGAGGAATGCATACGCACAGCCATTTCATGCCAAGTTTGGCATGGAGGGCGCGAAATCCGGTATGATGGCCATGCATTGGACCACGGTACCAATTTGCAGCTCCACATCCACAGACAGATTCTGCATGACTGGGCACAGGATGATGAAGAGGTAGATGAAATCTCCCATATGC